TATAAATGGCAGAACTTGAAATTAGGCAGTCTAACTCCAGAAACCAATTCCGTATAAAGCTAACTGGCATATTTCTTTTACTAGTGAATATTTAGTCTTTTTCTATCTTTCATTTGTAAGGGAGGCATAACAGTTTTAGGAATCTAAGTAATCCAAAGCCATCATTTGAGAGATGAAAAAATTGAGATCTAGGGCCAGGGATTTAGCTCAGTGGTTCCGTCACCTGCCTCTCAAGCACAAGGTCCTGAATTCAATCCCCAATATCCAAACAAACAAAAAAATTGAGATCTAGAGGTAAAATATCTAGTGAAGGTCAAAATATTGCTGTTCAAGAGCCATACAATGAAAAACAACATTTAAAAAGAAAATATAATATTTATAACCTAATAATTTATGTCATCCTTCTAAAAATGAATTTCCATAACAATATGCATTAATGTAGTTACATCCAAGCATTAATACTTCTTTCTTTTTTTCTTTTACACTGGTGATTGAACACATGGCCTTCATACTGAGCTACATCCCTAGCCCTTTTTAAATTTTTAAATTTGAGACAGGGTCTTGCTAAATCTCAATATTTCCCCGGATGGGCTTGAATTTGTGATCTTTCTGCTTCAGCTTCTCTGATTCATGGGATTTCAGGTGTGCACCACCTAGTTAAAATATTTTTCCTGATATTGCCCATCCCCCACTTTTTTGTCTTGAAGGGAAGTTGCTATATGCAGTAAGCCTGCCACCATGTGGTGTAGGTTCAAACCTAGCACCTGTTAAAGGTTCCATCCCCATTTATTTTGTTGTAGTATTGTGTGTGTGTGTGTGTGTGTGTGTGTGTGTGTGTGTGTGACTAATATCATTTATTCAAATCCTTAGAGAAAGAACTGGTTTTTTTCAGCTTTAATTGAGTTTATTGGTACATTTTAGGGATGCAGTACAGTTACATTCATTGTTGGGATCTTGTACCTCTACATGACAAGTCTTGGTTCTCATTTTTTCCCCTTATTCCTGCCCTCACTTCACCCCCTCCTCCCCTCCCCATCTATAAACACTTTATTTCCATCTTTTCATTATCTCACATTTTTTTCTTTTCCCTTATTACCCTTCCCCTACCCATCCCACCTTCCCTACACCTTTAGCTCCTTTCTTCCCATTTCTCAATGTCAGTAATCTTATTAGGATTTTTTGTATTATTGCAGATTATTCACACCAGAGAAACTATTTGGTTTTTACACGTGTGCCTTATTTATTAAGTAACATGAAAAACCAAATAAGCATTAATACAATTTTAGTGGGGGATTTAAATACCCCACTATCACAAATTGACAGATCATCTAGGCAGAAAATCAACAATGATATAATAGAACTGAAGCAAGCTTTGGAACACACGGACTTAATAGATGTTTACAGAGTATTCCACCACACAAAATCAGAATATACATTCTTTTCAGCTGCACATGGATCATTCTCCAAGATAGACCACATATTGGTTCACAGAACAGGTCTGAATAAATGCAAAAGAATTGAAGTCATCCCTGTATATTATCAGATCATAGTGCAAACAGCTGGATATCAATAGCACAAGAAACTATAGGAACTTCACAAGCACATGGAAACTGAAGAACACTCTCCTAAACAATCAATGGATTACAGAGGAAATTAAAGAAGAAATTAGACAGTTTTTACAAGTAAATGAAAATGCCAATACAACACACAGGAATCTATGGGACACAATGAAAGCAGTCCTATGGGGAAAATTCATAACATTGAATGCCCACACTAGGAAAACAGAGTGGGCTCAAATAAACAACCTAATAATGAAACTTAGACTCCTAGAAAAACAAGAGCAAGAAAAACCCAAAGCTCAAACAAGAGAGGAAATTATAAAGATCCAAGCAGAAATCAATGCAATGGAAACTTGCATTGTGGTCCCTTCCCACTGACATTATTCCTGCTGGATAAGCACTACTGGGCCTATACTTAAGGCTGCCTGCTGTCCCAACTCTGGTGAATCCTACTATAAGACTCTGTTGCGATTGTGCTCATGAACCTCTCCAAAGAGCCTTCTTGTAAGACCCCTCGGAAAATGAAATTCAGACTAGGACTTTCTTCAGCTCAGCTTTTCCTGGGAGCCTTCATCTGACAGTAGAAAGGTAACTCTTTCCTTCTTAGCAAGATCTATGCTTGCTTCTCAATTTTTATATTGACCAATTTCACATATTTTTATATGAAAACAAACATTGACAAAATAATTTTTGAGAATAAAAAAGAATAAACCAGGCTGAGACTAGATACTTAAACTAGACCCTGGTTTTTATCCCCAGCATCACAACAACAAAAGTCTTATCTCTTGAGCTGTCAGGATGGGTAAATAATGTTGATATACTGTGTGACACCGATTAGGGGCTTAGTCCATCATAACTATATTTATCTTTTAAATCACTAGCTCATATTGAGGATATACTCCTAAGTGAAATAAACAAGTCGCACATGTGTAAACACCGAATAGTTTCTCTGGTGTGAAAAACTATAATAGTACATAAGATCCTACTGAGATGATTGACAATGTGAAATAGAAAGAAAGGGGCTAAAAGTGTAGGGAAAGTGGGAAGGGTAGGGGAAGGTAATAAGGGAAAAGAAAAATAGGAGAAAATTTAAAAAATGGAAATAGTGTTTGTAAATGGGGAGGAGACAAGAGGGTGAAGGGAGGACAGGGAAAGGGGAAAAAATGAGAACCAAGACCTGTCATGTAAAGGTACAAGATCCCAATAATGAATGTAACTGTACTGTATACCTAGAATGTACCAATAAACTCAATGAGAAAAAAAAATCACTAGCTAATTCCTTTAGTGTGGGAGTGTGTGCATGTGTGTTTGGGGCACACACATAAAGTGCAGAGACAGTGAAGCGGGAGCACATCTACCCCTACTGAGGCCTTGAAGGTCTCCAGAGTGACAGCTTTTGAGTTCATGTGAAAGGAATGTGGAATGTGCCAAGGCTTTAGAGAATCCCAGGGAATTTGTGAGGTATGGCAGAATCAGTGATTTGGTGACCTAGAATTGTTTATGCCTCTCATGTGTGTTTTTGTATTTTACTACAGAAAATTTCAAGTGCACACAAAATGAAGGGATTAATATAGTATACCTCCATCTACCCCATTTCAACAGTGACCAACGCATGGTTGATCTCATTCTAGTTTCTTCTCTATTACCAGGTTATTTCTATGTGAATCTTTGAGTCACATCATTCATCTGTAAGTATTTTAGTACTATATTTCTTGTATTTTCTTGCGACCTCAGTATTTAATAAATTCTTTTTAATAATGATGACATCAAGGTCTGGATATGTAACTCTCTGTTGTCTTTGTGTGTGCATGTGCTATCTCCAGCATGGCACACACACACACACACACACACACACACACACACAGATATCAGAGACTAAGTGGACCTATATGTACTAACCTGGAAAGATCCTACATATGTATTGTTAAATGAAATAAGATAGGTCCAGACCTCACAATGACACTTAGAAAGACTCAAACAAAAGATATTAAGACATATGAGTGAGCTCCAAAATATGGAAGTATATTAGGGAAATATAATTTTTAAAATGTATCTCAAACTATTGATCCTGATTACAATCAGGAAAGGGGTAGTGGTGTAGAGGGTTATGCCCTATAACCTTTCATATTATTTGACTCTTGTCTCAAAAAAATATGTCCATCATTACTTACGTGATTTTTTTTCCAAGCAGAAGAGACTTCAATTAAACACTGCTCATTGCTGCTCAGGATAACAGTAACTTGTTTGGGAAATCTAGCAAAGTCTCAAGTGCTGATTTTTTAACTTCTAAGTGACCTTCCAACATCTTTCCTAATCAAATTGAAGTTTTGAGGTTTGTTTTTCTTTTTCTTGCCAACTAAAAATACCCTATCCAGCTCAGAAAATACAGCTGATTGAACAGCAGCTGCTGCTGAGACTCTACTTTGCATACTGAAATGAGCTTGAAAAAAAATAGCAAAAATACTATGGTAAGAGCCTGTTCTGAGGCAGGCTTGCAACCAATCACACAGGTTTGTCTTGACTTCCAAAGTGTCCTGCCTGCCTGCTTTTATTCTATCTTTTTTTTTTTTTTTTTTTTTGAGACAGGGTCTCACTTTGTAGTTGAGACTGAACTGGAACTCACTATGCAGCCCAGGTTGGTTGTGAACTCACAGAGATCCTCCTGCCTCAGCCTCCCAAGTGCTAGGATTAGAGGCGTGCACCACCACGCCTAGCTCTTGCCTGCATGCTTTTAGGAGGATGTCTGACTACCACTTTTCTGTGTGTGTGTGTGTGTGTGTGTGTGTGTGTGTGTGTGTGTGTACTGGGGACTGAACTCAGGACCTTGTGCATGCTAGGCAGGCACAGCACCACTGAGCTAAATTCCCAGCCCGGGTGTCATATTTTTTGAGCTCTTTATATATTCTAGATATTAGGCCTCTTGCCAAAGGCGTAGTTGGAAATTTTTTTCTCATTCTATAGGTTATTTTTTTACTCTGTTGATCATCTCCATTGCTGTATAGAAGTTTTAAATTTGATATAATCCCATTTATTGATTTTTAGGCTTTTTTTTCTTGTGCAGTTAGGGCTCTGTTCAGAAAGTCCTTGACTAGCTAGATAAGTCATTGGCTAGCTAGATAGCTAGCTCTTCAGACATTTTGAGAAGGTATAGAGTATATGAAACTGTAAGTGAGAGAACAAAGGGAAGCCATGTCCCATTTTCTGGATAAATGTGTTTTATAGAATGTTTCCTATTGATTTATCCTCTATTATGCAAGCTTTCTGATCAGAATGCTAGAAAACCATGAGTAGCCAGATTTCAAGAGCTCTATATAAGGCAGTATGTCAGCCATATTCTATAAAGCCAGTTATCTAGGAGGAGCTGGATGGGCACACATATCACAAATAGTGTTACAAAAGTACATAAAAGATAAAATAAATATATAAGTATGAAATTTTTTACTACTGGGTTATCATGACACATATAAGATTATTCAAGAAAAATCTTAATCTATACTTAATTGTTTTTGCTTTTCTTGCCAAGATTTTTGGAAGAAATGTCTTGCATGCAAAGAAATCTGCTTCAAAAGTTTTGGACAAAGAACAAGGACTTTTGGGCAGAATCCAAGCTCTGCCAGAGATTTCCTGGGTGACCTTGGGGACTACGGAGCCATCCCCACTGGACATTGGACTCTTGAGGCTAGGACTGTGTCTGTTTTCTTCATTCTTCAGCAGCATGAAAAGTTGCACATAGTGGACAAGTAGGGACTTAGGGTTAAATGCTAAGCACATGCTTTATCACTGAGCCACATCCCCAGCCCTTGGAAAATAATTTTAGAGAGTAATAAACATCTTACACATAGATAAATAAACAATAAATGTTTGGGATAAATAATGAACATTAGAGAAGCTAAATTGAGTTCTCAAAATTAATCTGAAAATCTTCTTGATATGAGCATAGAAAATAGATATACTTCCATGACCTTAAGTATTCTCTTATAAGCATTGTTAATATGAACAAATTCTGTTCATGAAATAAAACAAAACATACTTACACTATCCAAACTATATATGGGAACCATCCAAAGGATTCTATTTGGAAAGCAAAGAATAAATTTAAATTACTTTATGTTATATTTACAATAGAAGTCAACACAACATTAGTAGAATCAAAATAGAAGATTGACCTGATAGTTGGCTTTTGCAATTCTGGCTGTGTATAATGCACTACATGTTGTAAGATTCTCCACAGCAATACCAGCATTGTCATAAGTAGGAACACACCAGCTAACACCCAACCCTTGGAGTATATTCCAACCTTGAGAAACAAAGGAACACATTAATAGAGATTATGATAACTCTACAGTCCAATAAAACATGTCTACTTCTTAAATTTTCACTTGATTACAAATGAAGATCAATACTTTCTAAATGTTTAAAGGCTAATTTTATTTCATCTTCCAAAATAAACAGCCTGTTTGTGATTTTTTGTAGGGAAGGGGCGTATTTTTCTTTGTGGAGTTGAACATTCATTCCCTCATGAAACTTCTTACAGCAGGTTTTTATAATTAACAATATTAGCATTATATCACACACACACACACACCCTCCACCTGCTTATTCTCTGCCTTTTTACTTTGACTATTGTATTTGGAGATGTACAGAAACTTTCACATTTTCTGTAAATATAAATAATCTTTAATGGTTTATTCCTTTATTTCCATTCATACAAAGTTAAAAATCTACCAATATTTTCTTTCAATGTTACTATTAAGTATTTTGTTTTCCTGCACTGGGGATTGATCCCAGTCAGGAATACACCAGTTTTTAAAAAAAAATAGCCCCCTTCCCCACCCACACCCCTGACCTCTTGTCTAGGCTGGTACCTGTATTCATACCATAGAGGTACAGGGACTCATAAAGGCCATTGTTCCGAGCTCTAGCCTTGATTTTTATTTAATTCATACAGTTAAAGGTGATAGATTAATAACTACCACAAACTGTCATTTCTCTAAGCTGTGCTTAATGCTGTTCTGTTGTTGATTGTATTACATGGGCTAAGGTGCTGTGATTGATTTAATCATTTGTTCTACCTGGTATAATGAAAATGAGATGGCCTCAGAGTCATTAGAGACTCAAAACCTAAAGACAAGCTATAACAGGGAGAGCAAAGTATTAACCCAGAAATTAAACAAGGACAGTACCAACAACAAAAATAGAAATGAGAAGACATTCAAGCAAGGCACAAGCCCAAACAAAGGCTGTCTGTTCTTCAAAGGCAAATTCTGAAAAAAATGAGGTGGAAAAGTCTGATAACCACGTGGACATCCTGAACTGATAGCACAGGAAGTAACAAAACAGATGAATGAGGCTCTAGAAAAATTCAAAACAGAAATAATTTCCATGATAACTACAGAGATGGTGAGTGCAGTGAAAGAGTCTTAGAGACTCTAGAACTGAAACAGATCAAAAAAATACATGAGCTCAGGACCATAACAGAAGCCATGAGTGCCCAACATAGGAAAGAAATGGAATCCATGAAACAGATTCAAAAAGATATCCAGGAGATTAAAAACTCGATTGAGGGCCAGGGATTTAGCTCAGTGGTTTGGTGGCCTGCCTTGCAAGCGCAAAGACCTGAGTTCAATCCCTGGTACCAAACAAACAAACAAAGCTCTATTGAAAGTATACATGATGGGCTGAGCCAATCTGAAGACAGGATATCAGATATAGAAGACAGGATGATGGTCAGTGACCATGAAAAGAGGGATCTGTTAAAAAAAAAGTAAGGGAACATGAGAAATCAATCCAACAGCTCCTAGATGATGCAAAGAAGAATAATATAAGACTGATAGGAATTCATGAAAGAGCAGAAGAAAGTACAAGTGACATTAAAAAAAAAAACTGTTCACAGAATTAATGACAGAAAACTTCCCAAAAAGAGCAAAATAATTTGACATACATACAAGTAAGGTTTAAATAGCCATGATCACAAAAAAATCTATACCTAGTCATATAATAATCAAGATCCCAGAAACTAAACAGAAGGACAAAAATAATATAAGCAGTTAGAGAAAAGAAACAAATCATATGCAAAGGAAAGTCCATCAGAATCACAACAGACTTTTAAACCCAAACCCTCAAGTCAAGGAGAGCCTGGAGTGAAGTATTTCAATCCCTAAGAGAAAACAACCTCCAACCTAAACTGATGTATACTGCAAAACTCACTCTCAAAATTGATGGAGAAATAAGATACTTCCATGACAAAGAACACAAGAGAATCTTCATGAATACAAAACCAGCACCCCAAACAATTATAAATAATATCCTAGAAAAAGACAATGAAGGTCACAATTTCATGAGGCCCAACATAGCAAATCCAGGAGGCAAGGCAAGAAATTAAAGAGAGAGGGAAAAATTAAAAAGAACAATAGGAAAATAACATGATGATGATAAGTCAATACATATCAGTTATATCCATCAAGGTTAATGGCCCCAGTTCACCAATCAAAAGAAATAGACTGGCAGAATGGATTAAGAAGCAAAATCCAACAATATACTGTATACAAGAAACACACCTAGTTCAAAAAGAAACTCATAGACTGAAAGTAAAAGGGTGGAAAATAGTACTCCATGTGACAGGACCCCAGAGAAAAGCAGGGGTAGCTGCCTTCTTTGAAGTCAAAGCAAATTTCAAACCAAGACTAATTAAGAGAGACAAATAAGGTCACTACATTCTTGTAAAGGGAATAATCCAAGAGGAAGAGATGACAGTCACAAATATATATGCAGCAAATACTAATTCCTCCAACCATACAAAACAACTAATAAGGGACATGAAAAACCAAATATGAAAAAACTAATACAATTGTAGTGGGGGACCTCAATACCCTACTGTCACAAATAGACAGATCATCTAGACAAAAGATTAGCAACAAAATACTAGAACCAAGCTTTTGAATGAATGGACTTAATGGACATCTGCAGAGTGTTCCACCCCACAAAATCAAAATATATATTCTCTTCAGCTGCAAACAGGTCATTCTCCAAAATAGACCACATACTAGCTCATAGAACATGTTTAAGTAAATGCAAAGGAGTTTCAGTTATCCCATGTAAATTATCAGACCATAGTGCAATTAAACTTGAGATCAATAGCATATGAAACTGCAAGAACTTCACAAACACTTGGGAATTGAACAACACTCTCCTGAACAACCAATGGGTCACAGAAGAAATTAGACAGTTTTTACAATTTAATGATAATGCCTATACAACACACAGGAATCTATGGGATGCAATGAAAGCAGTTCTACAAGAGAAATTTATAGCAGTGAATGCCCACACTAGAAAAACAGAGTGAGCTCAAATAAACAACCAAATACTGAATCTTAAGCTTCTATTAAAAGAAAAGCAAGACAAACCAAAAGCTCATACGGGGGAGGAAAGTATAAAGATCAGAGCAGAAATCAATACAATGGAGACGAAGAGAATAATACAAAAAAATCAATGAATCAAAGAGTTGGTTTTTCAAAAGAATAAATAAAATCAATAAACCCTAAGCCAACATTATAAAAAAAAAAAAAGAAGGAAAGAAAGAAAGAAGAGGCTCATATACATGCAATTAGGAATGAAAAAGGTGAAGTCACAACAGGTCAAGGAGAAATCCAGAGCATCATCAATACCTACTTCAAGAAACTGTACTCATTTTTAAAAAAAGCTTCTGCACTGCAAGAGAAACCACCCACAGAGCTAGGTGACAACGTACAATATGGAAAAAAAATTTTTACCAGTTCCTCAGACAAAGGTCTACTATCCAGAATATATAAAGAAATAAAAAAATCAGACCCCCAAATTTATAAACTCAATTCAAAAATAGGCATCTCTGAAACAAAAAAGTAAAAGCAGCAAATAAGCATATAAAAAAATCTTCAACATCGCTGGTCATTTGAGAGATGCAGATGAAAACAACACTGAGATTCCATCTCACCCCAGAAAGAATGGCTGCTATCAAGAAATCAACCAATAACAAACGTTGGCAGGGTTGTGGAGAGAAAGGAACCCTTCTTCACTGTTGGTGGGAGGGCAGACTGGTGCAACCACTGTGGAAATCAATATGGAGATACCTCATATAACTAAGATTAGAAGTCCCATTTGACCCACCTACTTCCTTGCTGGGCATCTTGCCAAAAGAATTAAAAGAATCATACCGCAGTGATATATGCTCACCCATGTTTATAGAGGCACGGTTTGTAATAGCTAAAACTTGGAAACAGCCTAATTGCCCATCCACTAGAGATGGGATAAAGAAGATTTTTAAAAAATTATTAAATGGAGTACTGCTCAGACATAAAGAATGAGAAACTAGAGATATTTATAGCTAAGTGGATGTACATTGAGGACATACTCAAGTGAAATTAATAGGACACACATGTGTAAATACTGAATAGTTTATCTGACGTGATAAACTAAAAGTGTAAATAAGAATCACCACGCATAATTGATACTGTGTAATAGGAAAAAATGTCTGAAGGTGTAGGGGATTTAAGAGGGGTAGAGGAAAGCTAAGAATGGAAAAGAAAAAAATAAGAGAAAGGGAAAACAATGGAAACAAAATCTGTAAATAGGGAAGGGTGGAGGGGGTGAAAGGTGGGCAGGGGAATGGGGAAAAAATAAGAACCAAATATATTATGTAAAGGTACAAGAGATCCCAATGATGAATGGAACTGTATTGTATACCTAAAATGTACCAATAAAGAAAAAAGGAAAAAGAAAGTTTCCACCACCTCCCAGAAGAACCACTCTGAGGACCAAGCCTTTAACATATGGGCTTTTGGGAGAACTTCCAACATCCAAAGTATAATATATATTAGTTTTATAGTGCTATGTGTTATAAACTTAGAAAATGTGCAAAAAATGAAAACTTTAGAAATAAGATAAATAAAAATCTACTAACAGTTTCAATTTTTTAAAAAATAAATTTGAGATAGGGACTCTCTAAATCTCCAAACTGACCAGAATGGGCTCCAATTTATGATCCTCCTGCATCAACTTCCCGGACTTCTGGGGTTACAGGCTTTCCCCGCCATGCCTCGCTCTTATAGTTAAGCATCTTAGTAAACTGTCACATGAAGACAGCAACACTGGGATCCTGGCCTGCTAAGTTCTTTGTATCAGTCCTCTTGTATCTCTCTCAGTTGGTAACTAGGCTACATTACTAATCAAAACAAATTAGAATTTAGACTACTTCTCATACAGGACACAATAATGTATGATATTATCATTTTTTAAAATCTCTAATATCTCCTAGGTAAATACCTAATTAATATTGTAGTTTTAGAAGCTCAGTTTGTAAAAACATACTTTGAGTCATCTCATCTTTAAGTAGAGCTGCTTCAAAAAGAGTAGAGGGGAACAGAGATAGCAGTTTCCAGCCAGTCCCCCTGGGGAGCAGACAGCAGAACTGCCAGTAGCAAGGGGGCAAGGTGAGAAGTCTCCTGTGTGGCCAACTGCACACACTCAGGTAACACAGGGAGGGAAATTTTAAATAGCGTGGACGGTCATCTTGCACCCCAGTAAATCAGGATCTGGCCCACCATGAGCATGGGATGAACTACACAGACCTCCTCATTTCTGTTGTCTGAGTTCCCAAGGATTTCTTGACAAGACAGCACTGTGATGCTGGTGTTTAACGGACACTGTTCATATAAAAGGACCCCAAGTACATCTAGTACATCACAGAAAAACGTGACACTGCCTTAGGTGTCCAACTGTGAGCTCTGTTCCATCTGAGCTGCTGTTGCACAAGAGAGAGAATTCCAGGCAACACTGACACTGATCATCTAAAAGGTGACAGCAGTAACTCGACCTGTTGAGCACCTGCTCTCTGCTGGGCACAGTGCTAAGGATTTTAGACACAGACACATAAACTCAGTGCAGGAAGATGAGAAGAATGGTAAGGATGTTGGGTATAAAGCCCTTAGCACAATGCCACTTTGACCAAGTAGCTCTGTGCCTCGGTTTTCACTTCTATAAAATGAGGCTAATTCTTGTTCTTTGAGGATTTTAAGAAGATTAAATGAATAATAGCTGTGGCTAAATCCTGGGGATATATTCTAGTCAAAGTCTCTGAACTTACAGAAATTACAAGGAAAGACTTTCCATAGTCTCATGCTCCTCTCTACCTATTATGCCATTTATTTCTTGGGCCCCTTCACTCAATACTCTCAAAACAAACATGAAAAAAAAACTCATCATCCACTCTTGAATCCTCTTTTACACCTATACTCATTCCTCAGACAACTCCATTCTGGTGCTGTCCCTTATGACCTCACTGAGACCATTACTAAGACCACCAGTGACCTTGCTGTTTATGAAAAAACAATGGCTATTAAGGCAGCAGCATTGGACACTGTCCACTATGTCCTCCTTGAAACTCCTGGCATTCACTTTTCAACTGGCTGCTGTGTTATCTTTTTTGTAATATTCTCTAAATATTTGTACTAGGTCCTTTGCCATTCCATTTTCTCTTTTATAATCCTGTCCACCTCCATGGTTTTGAGTAGCATCTACATTCTGACAGCTGTGCTGTGGACTGAAGTCTTCCCACCCCCTAACTCATATGCTGAAACCATCTGTAACCTGTAACGTGACTGATTCTACTTGGAAACAATCCTTTAGGAGGCAATTTGGGTTAAATGAGGTCATAAGTGTGCGGTGCTAACCCAATATGGCTGGCTGGTGGCTTGAAAAGACGAAGACACACCAGAGGGCTCTCTGTTCACCATGACAGGACAAAGCAAGAACTCAGCCATTGACAACCCAAGGGAGGCCTCCCCAGACATCAACCCTGCTGGCAATTTGATGTTGGAGTCCAAAACAGTTTCAAGAGCTGTGAGACAATAAACTCCTGTTTTGTAAGCCACCCAATTTATGGTGTTTTCTTATGAAAGACTGAGCTGATTAAGACAAATTCCTAAGTTTTTATCTGTGGTGCAAACCCTTCTGAACTCTATGCTTGCATATCCAACTGCATGTTTGACACACCCATTTGAATGTCTCTCATTAGGCCATATATCCAAAAAGGAAGTCAGTTTCTCTCAAACCTCCTAAACCTTCATTTTCCATCTCACTAACTGGTGCCACAATTCATTGAGTCGTTTGAGCCCAAAACATCAGAATTATCTTTGATTTCTCTTTTTCTGTCACTGTCTCTTCTCCCCAATCCAATCTACTACCAAGTTCGATTTGTTCACTTCCAAGGATACTTAAAATCCAGCTTCCCCCTTCACTTCTGCTATCCTGATTTGAACCACGAGATCAGGCACTGACTTTCCCAGCCAGCACAAAGGGCTGCCTCATTTCACTTCCCCTTTGTTTGCTGCAGCCTTTAGACTGGTGTTTTGAAGACTGCTTTTCCTGTTAGCTTCTCAGACCTTTTAGTTTCCTCTGTAGCATTTTATACAATTTAATTGAACCGGAGTTTATTTTGTTTTGTTTTGTTTTTGTCACTGTGTTTGTCTCTACTGCCAAGTTCCAAGGTAGGTATCACTTTTGTATGTGTGGCAGTGGGGATTGGACCTATGGCCTTTATAGCAAGCTACTCCTGCCTCATTCCCCCAGAGAGCTGGGATTCCAGGTGTGTGCCACCACCTGTATAATTAGCAAGATGTCACAATTTTATGCCTCTCACCATGTAGTATACAAAGCACAATTAACCACTGGGTCTCTATTACTTTTTAATTCAAATACCAGCCCTTTGAACAGAAGGGGAGAGAGATGATGATCTCACAAAGAAAAACGAAGCAGAGAAGGGAATATGAAGTGCTGAAAAGAGAAAGCTTACAATAGTAATTAGAGTAGCCAAGTGACATTTGATAAACACTTGAAATGAATATTATTTGCAGGAAGGGCACCTCATGAAGGGAAGTGTAGAGGTTCTAAGGAAGGAGCAAGCTCAGCAAGTATGAACAGAACAGTGTGGCTGAAGCCCAGGACTTGAAGAGAGATGATCTAAGGATTACATTGGGCCTTGATGGTTGTACTTAGGAACAGTGGCTTTTACTGTGGAAGCAGAAGAGGCCAAAGGGGACACATACAATGTGACTTGTGAGAGGCTAAAAGGGACCCACACAATGTGGTTTACATGTTAGATTGATACTCTGGATGGTCTGTAGTGAACAGCTCAGGTAAGATAGGAGGAAAACTTGATTCAGGGCATTAGCTGTGGACTCTGAAGATTGAAACCTTTCTTAAAAGCCAGTGGCATTAAAAACTATAGCTGAAGTTCCAACTATGAGAAATCTATACAATTCATTAACCCTCAAAATAGTTCTTATCTTGTAACACAAGGAAATAATTCAAAGTAACTTATTTGCTTTAAGATGTTTATATGTAAATTTTGGTACATAAAGTCATATAATCTATATATTATTAAGATACCTTGATAGCTAAAAAAATTCAATGCAAAAGAGTGTTATATCACTTTTAAAATTAACTACATGGTTTATGCCAATATGAGAAAGTAAAGCAATACTTTAAGGAATAGACAACATAAATCTATATTATATTGTTTATCCAAAATTATTTCCACAATAAAAAGGGCCTAAAATAACTGGAGTCCTGCCATAAAGCTTGTGAAACAAGTGCTTCTCAGTGGTTTTTATTAGTTCATAGTGTAAAGTTCACATAATATATATATTATATATTAGTTCATATAATATTATATTAGGTAAATACTTATGTTGGACTCTCCAGCTTGTATTACATATTATATATA